TGTGATGCCATGGTGCTCTACTGAGGGTAACAGAGTGAGACTCTGTCTCTACAAAAAAAAGAAGTATATTTTATTAAAAATATAAAATTAAATTGTATAAAATTTTTTTTTTTTTGAGACAGTCTTATGTTGCCCTGGGTAGAGTGCTATGGTGTCATAGCTCACAGCAACCGCAAACTCTTGGGCTTAAGAGATTCTTTTGCCTCAGGCTCCCAAGTAGGTAGGACTACAGTCGCCTGTCACAACACCTGGCTATTTTTTTGTTGCAAATTATATAGTTACCATATGGCTACAGTAATTCCACTTTGGGGTATATGCCTCAACACAAGCATTCAAAGAGATACTTGTATATCCACAAATATTTGTACATCCATGTGGGTTTTTTCCCCCCTCTGGGGACAGAATCTGTTCTACCATCTGGGCTAGAGTGTGGAGATATCATCACTGCTCATGGCAACTTCAAATTCCTGGGCTCAAGTGATCCTCTTGCCTCAGCCTCCCACATGGCTCGAACTACCAGCTTGCACCACCATGCCCTGTTAGTTTTTCTGTTTTTTTAATGGAAATAGGGTTTTTGCTGTTACTTGGGCTGGGTCTTGAACTCTTGGCCTGAAGCGATCCTCCTGCCTTGGCCTCCCAGAGTGCTAGGATTACAGGCATGAGCCACCGTGCCAGGCCTTCATATCCTCATTCATAGCACCATTATTCACAATGGCTCAAAGGTAGAAACAGCCTAAGTGTCCTTTGAGGGATGAATGGCAAGCTGAGAAACGTTTTAGAGATGGAAAGTTGTATAACAGTGTGAACCTACTTAATGTCTCTAAACTGTAAACTTAATATGATTAAAATGGCAAATTTTATATGTATTCTATCATAATAAAAATGCATTGCTTTATTAGAAAAATACACTGAAATTAAATTATCTACTAGACTTATATAAATTACTTGTAAATAATTATATGTTTATATTTCAAACAAAGGTAACAAATACACAAAATGCATCATTTCCTAGGTTTGTTTTTTTTTCTGGCCACATTTAGTGATTGTGCTCTTGAGGTTATTTTCTTGAGGTGGTACTTGTATTGTAGAAACACCGTCTTGGTAGCCACTGCCCATCTCTTCCCATCATCACCTTTAATAGTGTCCTACCGGTAACATATTGGCTGAGGTGGGAGTATTTACACCACAGGAATAGGCAAATGCTACAAATTACACACAGATGTGGTTGTTGTAGACTCCAGATTGCTGGTTAGTAAAGGTTAGTCAGCATAGAGCTGGAAGATGAGAGTGTAAACTTGTCTGCAGATTATGTGGAGGTAGGAACTTACTATGTTTTGCATGTTGGGGGGGAGGGAAAGAGAGGACTCAAGTGATACCTAGATATTGGCTTAAGTGGCTAGATGGGTGGTGGCACCATCCACTCAGATGGGGGTCTAAGGGGAGACTGGGGACTGTGGAAGGCGCGGCCACTGACAGAGCCCAGGCACTGGAGCTCACTGGTCTATGGTGTACTGGGCCGAGGCAGAGATGAGACCATATGGCCCCGGCCCTGGAGAAGCCTTTGTCTGTGAGGACACAGATCCCCTCACTTAATGGGACATCCTATCCAAAGGTTCATCGACCTTTCTCTGTTCTCCAACCCCATTTGCTGAGTAGCTTCCCTGCCAGTTCAGTGTCCCCACTGAGGGCTGTACCTGGGAACACCAGGTCAGGATACTGGTGCATGTGCCAAACGGCTGTTTCCGCCCATGGATTTCCTCCCTCCCTCTTTTCCCAGGCTCCGTGACCTTCGTTCCAGGGTGGCTCGACTTGTGGGGATTACTCTTTAGACCTGCTCCTTCCCATTTCCAGAAAGGCCTGGAGTGAGCTTCATGGGACTCCTGTTCCCACTGCCCTTCCCTCGGGATAGCGATCTGCCTGACAGTGTAGGTTTTCTGACTTATTAAACAATTTGCAATAGGAAGCTTTGACCTAAGGAATGATTCTGATGGGAATTTAAGGTCTGCGTGGGGTTCCTGTACGGGCTGCTGTAACAAAGCCACTACAAACTGAATCTGTTCTCTCATGGTTCTGGAGATTAGAGGTCTGAAGCCCAGGAGTCAGCAGCACCATGGTTCCTCTGAAGCTCTCGGGAAGAGTCCTTCCTGCCTCTTCCAGCTTCTCGTGGTTTCAGATGCTCCGTGGCCCGTGGCCTGTGGCTGGTGGCTGGATCTCTCCAATCTCTGCCTCGATCTTCTCTTGCCTTTCTCTCTGTGTCTCTGTGCTTCCTTTTCTGTCTCTGGTGAGAACACTTACTTATCCTTGGATTTAGGGTCCATTCTAATCCAGGATGATTTTGAGATCTGAACCTTAATTATATCTGCAGAGACCCTCTTATGGACCCAGGTCACATTCTGAGGTTCCAGGTGGGAATATCTTCTTTTGGGGGTCACCCTTCAGCCCTCTCTTGGTGCACCTGGGAGGTAGGCCAGGCCTGCAAATGGTTTTGCCTCCTCTTGTGACCCTGGAAGGATGCACCATTACAGCAGGCAGAAGCCTTACAGTTCTTTTCTTCTTCCCAAATTTACACTTATTTTCCTCTCTGCTTCTATTGCTCATCTTATCTGCCCAGTGTCTCTGCCCGAACTGTTTGTCCAGCCCCAGGAGAGAGGGGGTCTGGAGGTACCTTACCACTGTATAGCAATCAGGTCTCATTAAAACCCTGGAGCCCCAGACTGGACTCAGCCTTCAGCTGTGATCAAAGGACAGCCTGGGGGATGATTAAAGGGCTGGGGAAGGATGACTTTGGCTGAGAAAGGGAGAAGGCCAAGGAGCAACTGAATTATCCTTGACTTTGGAAAAGGTAATTATGACTTGAAGAGTGGTGCCCAGCTGTTTCTCATCTCTTCTGTGGACAGAAAAAACAATAGAAATAAGTGATGTACAGTTAGAGTGGTCAGTTAGATATAAGGGTTAACTTCCTGGCTGGGAGTGTGGCCATGCTCTGGGTTGGGCTTCCTGAAGGAGCTTGGGAATCTCCTTACCTGTAGGCTCCTAGTCCTGGTAATGTGGGCCTGAGTGGTTAAAATGCTGGGGGTGGAGGCTGGGGATGGAGTGGGTGGGCACTCTCTGGCCTCCCTCTTGCCATTGTCCTTTGGGTTCCCTTGTGGGTGAGGCGTGCACCCTGGTGGGCTCCCCAGGGACTCCGCTGTGTGCAGAGATGCAAAATGCACAATAAGCTGACCCTGAGCTAATCTGGAAGAACCTCACACCAGCTCTGGGGAGAACAATCGCATGGGTGTGTCTACACCCACCAGGTGCTTTTTATAAAAACACCGGTGAATAATGCTGTGGCCCACATTGGATGCTGTCCCAGGGACCTGGCATCTTCTCAGGGGGCTGAGTTGTTAGGTTAAATTTCTCAGGGACTGGATTTTCACATCTCTTAGTGCAGGGTGGACAGATGGCCCTACCCAGGGTGGGCCATCTGACAGCCCAGGTGCTGATTTTCAGACAATAAATGCCCTGGGCTGGGGTGGAATGCCCTGGGTGCTATTAATGGCAGTAATAACTTCATTTCTGAGACCCAGGCTCTCAGGCAGACGAGGGTGTGCACACATCTGAAATGTCTGTGGTTTTGCAGTTCCCATCTCCACGAACTCACTTGGTGGAAAATAGTTCTTAATATCCAAAGCATGAGAGAGGGAGTGATCGCTTTTCTTAAAAAGAAAGGACTCACTACTTAAAAAGCCCATCACACCTGTTCCTTCTCTGCAGGAGACCCAGTGCCCACCTAAGGGGGTCCAAACCCCCCAGGTGGCCTGCAGGTCTCAGCACCTGGCACATGTGGGATCTTCCAGACAGGGAGGTGCAGGGAGAGTGGGCAGTAACCAAACCCAGACCCAGGCTGAGCTCTTGGGCACTCCCATGCCACACACTCAGGGGACCATACTGCAGAGCTGCCACCTGCTTGGGTGTGTGTGTGTGTGTGTGTGTGTGTGTGTGTGTTGTTATTCCCTGCTGTGCAGAGGCCCTGGGTCTAAGGTAACAGGTTGTAGGGAGAGCAGGAAGGAGTGGGTACCTGGCTCACCAGAGGGAGTGCAAGACACACCCTTCTGATGTAGGGGCCAGACCTGAAGGGCCCTTCCTGGGGAGGAAAGCCTGTTGCTTCTCAGGTTCTCAGTGTAAACCATCCTCTTGTCCCCAGCCCCTAGGACTTGCTTGCCTTGCAGTCAGAGTTTAGGGCTGTCTGGCAAGTGGGTGGTAAGTAGACTGCTGGCCCCAGGGAGAGGCTGCGCTCTCGGCAGCTACCCTCCCCCCCGCCCCCTGTTCCTAGCTCCTTCCTTCAGACTTTGAGAGAGCGTCCCTCTTTGCTAGTAGACTTTTTCCTCCTAGAGGCCCTTATTGTGGAAGGGGGAGGTGGCACTCGCCTCTGTCCGAGCCAGCGCTTTCTCCAGTGCCCCCCAGCCTCGGGCTGCAGCAGCGACCCTGGAGGGGCGCCCTCGGCGGGTGGGAAGTGATGGTTTCCCGTGGGACCGCGTGGCTAGCCGAGCTCGCCCAGCGCCCCTCTTGAACCCGCAGCCCGGGATCCCGCCCGCCGGCCGAGCCGCGCGCGCCACCGCTTAACCCTTGCGGGCGTGGAGTGCGTGGAGGCAAACTTTGTTTGGCTGCCCAAATAAAACCTCCGGCAGGAGAAACCCCGAGCCCGGGGAAGGGGAGGAATCTCTTCCCCTCTTAGCGCCCGCCCCCGCGCCGCGGCCCGGCCTCCACATCCGCCCACATCTGGCCGCAGCGGGACGTCCGCGGGGAGGGGCCGAGGCTGCGTCCGTCTCTGTCCCCTGGGCGCGGGCCAGGCGGGGAGAAGTGGGGTGCGCGGATCGTGTGCTCAGGACTCGCCAGTTCCCGGCGGCCGCTCAGGCCCCAGCCCCCCAGGCCAGGCTTTGACAGGCGGGCGCAGCAGCCAGTGTGAGACCGCAGAGCGGTCGGCGGGTGCGGGAACCTGATCCGCCCGGGAGGCGGGGGCGGGGCGGGGCGGGCGGCGGGAGGGGCGGGCGCCCGCCTTCCTCCCCCATTCATTCAGTGGAGCCGGGGGCCGAGGGGCTCGGGCGGCGAGCTCTGCACGGCAGGAGCTCAGGGCGCCCCAGCCAGCGTGCAGGGCCCGGCCGAGGGCGCTTCCTCACTGCCGCCCTCCGCGGGACCCACTGTCCACCAGCCACCATGTCCGACCCCGCGGTCAACGCGCAGCTGGACGGAATCATTTCGGACTTCGAAGGTGGGTTCCTGGCCGGCCGCCGCGGCCGCGGGCGCGCTAGGGGACCCTCCAGGCGGGCCTGGCGCGGGACGGGGCCGAGCAGAGGGGAGGCGGGACCCTCGCGGGAGGCGCCCTCCTGCCGAGAACGCGGAGCCTTCTGGCTCCACGCCCGCGTCGCCTGCGTGGAGGACCCCGTTCGGGGGACCCAGGGTGACCGCGCACCCTCACGGGACTCCGAGCTCGCCCCGGTTTCCTTCCTTTTATTGTTGTTTGTGTTTGCCGAGCGACAGCCACCTCCTCGAGGGCTCCAGGAGCTTCCTCAGATCTATCCAGGGAGCGCAGTTTCACTCCGACGAATTAATCAGTCCGCTCCCGGGCGGCTTTCGGGCCCTCTTGGGCCGGACGGCTGGGCAGGGAGTTAGTTCTGTTTCGGACAGAGTGGGCGGCCGCCTCCTGTGGGTGGACAGTCCTCCCCTCCCCCACGCCAGTTTCGGGCCGGAGCTGAACCGAATCCAGGCTAGGCAGGGCCGCCAAGTTGCGCAGCCCACGGGCCGGGGGCACCAAGCGGACACGGCCCAGGCTGTGGCGGGGTCCAGGGTGGATGTCCCACGGACTCTCCAGCCCAGGCACAGCCTCATCTGCCTGCCAGAATCAAGCTGTGGGGGACTGCGGGGGCCTGTGTGCGGGCAGGGAGAGCATGTAGGCTCTCTTCTCTCTTTGAGGGTCACAAAGTGTGGAGAGACTTGGGGGGCTTCTCCCTCAGAGCATGGGTCCGGCATCCTGGTACCTGGGCCTGTGTGTGTACGCGCTTTCGTGCAGTCCTCGTGACTCCCCTGCCGGTACTGGGCTCTGCGTCCTGCATCTAGGGAGTAAATAAAGCAGTCGGAAGGGAAACCCACACAATAGTCTCCACTCACTCGAGGGCCAGGCTTTCTGAGGGGCGGTCCTGCCTCTGCGGGGACCTGGAGACCCCGCCCCTCCCAGGCAGACTTGGGCAGAGCCCTCTGTGGGACTGGAGAGGGAGAGGCGGGGCTGAAAGGAGTAACAGATGTCCAGGTGCCAGGCCAAGCCAGGTGATGGGGCTGAGGTCCTCTGCCCTTCATGGCGGGTGCCAGCACTGGAATCTGGGTGTCTGGAGCTGAGCGGTCCACAAGGCCCACCTGGGGTCAGCCCCATCTGGGAGGCGGAAGGCAGGGGGGTGGGGCAGCAGAGGACAGCCTCCAGGGGACCAAATGATTGGGTTGGCTGAACTCCAAGCAGATTGCCAGCACTGTGCTTCTAAACTGGGCCTGGGGCGATGGAGGGATCGAGCACAGTGACCAGTGGCCAGCATACGCTGCAAAGCATGAGACATCATTGCATCTACTTTGTCAGTTCAGCGGTGGGAGCCCTTCTTCAGCTCTAACACTTTCCATCACATTATCCATAGCAGGGGAGGTCTGGGTCCTATGTCCCGGCCTTGCCCCGGTCATCTGGGTGTCCTAGGCCTCGTCTTTATATTGGGGTCTCGTGCTCAGCTTTGCATTGCAGCTCTTCCTACCCCTGCTCCTGCATGCCTCCCCCTTAGTGCTGGAGTGGCAAGGGTTGGCCCATCTGATCCCTTCCCTGTAAGTGCTGGTGGAGGGAGAGCCTGCCCTTCAGGTCCTGTGCTCTGGGGACACTCCCCTCCTGGCCTGCAGGAGTTGAGGTCTCTGCTCTGATTCCATGTGGGGGTTTCTAGGGGAGAAGGTGAGGTCTGGACAGGCCGCACGTGGCGGGGCCGGGAGGTGAGGTTCAAGGGGGTCCTGTTGGCCTTACACCATGGAGGTTGCGATTGCCCCTGCCTGGGGAGCCCTGTGTGAAACTCCATCCTCCCCCACGGCCCCCATCTGGAGACGCCTCTGCTGTGGCCTCCCAAGCCGCCTTTTTGACCCTTTAATTTAGCTCAAGACAATGGCCTCATTGAGACCATCGTGGTGCAACAGTTGGCAGCCCTTTGACTCTGGGGGCAGGTTTCTCAGTCATGGAGAGCCAGCTTCACTGTTCTGGTTCTCTGAATTATTTGCTGGGGGATCTGGCCTTAGAGCCCGCCCAGGCGTGCCGAGTGGGAGTGTGTGTGAGCGTGTGCATGTGCACGAGGGCTCTGCGCGGCTGACCTGGTGCCCCAGGAACTTAGGAGTTGGTGGGTGGGGAGGGTGTGCCTGTGGGACACAGCAGCCTTAGATAGACGGATGTGGGAAGGGATGATCAGAGGAGGAGGAGGGCCACAGGCAGTGGGAGCTGGCAGCCTCTGAATCAGGGCAGGGGAAAGTTGCCACTGGCTGATAGGGGAGGTGGACCTTGAGGGAGAGTAGGCATTTGATTGCAGAGGAAGGGGGTGAGCATTCTGGCCAGGGGCAGCCAAGCAGCTGCTGGGGAGGCCCCATGAGCTGGCCTGAGAAGGGGCTGGGGCATAGGAGGGGCCAGCTTGCAAGACCCGATGGGCCAGAACGTAGGGCCAGGCATGCCCGCAGGCAGTGTGGTGGTCCCCAGGAAGCAGCTGGAGCTGAAGGAGCACAGGCCTCCCTCTTCGGGGCAACTCACCCGGAGGCTCTGTGTCTACAAGGTAGGTGGAAAGGTAGGGAGGAAACTGCCAGCTCCTTGGCAGCTGCCCTGTGGTTCCTGAGGCTGGCGGATGTAGCACTATCATGAAGCACGTATTGGTTGCTGAGGGATGGAGACTGCAGGGGCCACCCTGAAGCAGAGCAAGTGCTGCCGGGCCACAGTGACTCTGGGGGGATTTTCAAACTGAGAAGACATGCTGCCCTGGAACCCCATAATGGAGCCAGAGGGCCCTGGTTGTGGTGTTTCTGGGAGGTGTGGAACTAGTGGCTGTATGCAGGGAGGGGGAGCATGTGGGGCTGGGGATGGTGTCCAGGCCAGAGCAGTGTGCCTCCTCAGGGCAGGTGGGATGCCACCCACAGGGGGTGTATGTTGGGTGGAGCGGGGGCTTGGAGTTAAACTTCCACCAATGCCCCACATTCTTGGTGCATCTGCCCCCTCCCTGGAGGGTTTTGTTTATCTTTTTATTCCCTGCCTGTCCCCTCCCCCAGGGCTTCCCTATCCCTACCCCCTTGAGGACTGAAGGAGCCCCCGGTTTCTGAGTGTGGCACTGTTGGACCCCATCACGGAGGGGTTGCCTTTTGCATGGGGATTCTTTCTGTCTGCTATTTTGTCTGGGTCTGTGGGGTTCAGGGGTTCTCCACCACTTGCAAGGAATGAAGGGGTGTCAGTGTCCTCCCTGGGACATAGTTTCCTGCATCCTGCCTTTGCCTTCCCTTCAAGAAAGTCCCAGGGCTCTGCAGAGAACCCCATATAGGGCAAGGAGAATATTTAGTGTCTTGGCTGACGTGGTTTTTAGAAAGCCTCATTTCCCACTTCTCCACTGCACAAACTGGGCTCAAGAAGATCGGGGCGCCCACCATTCCCCCATGACAGGGTGGCGAGAGGAGTGACCCCTTTCTCTGTCTCGCTCCTGGTTGGCGGAGGCACGGTATTGGACGGTGCGTTCCTGTGAATGCAGGCCAAATCTGTTATCGCAAACATGATTACAACTTGGGGCTTTGTGTAACGAGAGCCGTTCCGAGTGCCAGCTGTTGGCCCACTTTCCTCTGCAGTGTTTGCTGTAACCAGATTTGCACACGGAGAAAGAATCCAAAAGCCCCTGATGTTTGTTGAAACAATCTGGCCTGAGACCCAAATTCTCCAATCCTAGAGCTGTGTGACACTTGCCCTTCCCCTGTCGCCCAAGGAAGACCCTTGGAGCTGTGTCCTGGAGGTGGGGTAGGCTCTGGGAGGGGCTCTTGGATGGAAAGGACAGCCTGTCTGAGCGCTCGACACCTCTGGGATGTGTGTGTTGCTGATGGCTGCATCCAGGTGCCCCTCTTCTCCCTGGAGGAGAAGGCCGGTTGCTTGGTGATGGGTGTAGACCTGTCCTTAATTAATGCCAGTGAGCCTCTGGTGTGATGACTCCTGCTTTCAGCCAAGACTGAGGTCTCCAGTGAATAGCACCTCCCTGGCAGGAGGCAGGACCCATGGGGTGATGACTTTCGTCTCCAGACCCCTGGGGCACAGTGGGTTCTATGCTCTGCAAGGTAAGAGGGGGCTGGGTCTCATTTATTGGTCGCACAGCCACTGGCTTCACTGACTTGGTGCTCTTTGTATCCAGAGCCTGGCTGATTCACCATCCTGACTTTGAACAGGTTCATTTAGAGTGCCCAGGTGCCTCTGTGGTTGGCCTTGCTTCTAGGCTGAGGGGTCGCTTGGGCAAGACATCTGGGGAGAGGTGGGTGAGCACCAGGACACCCCCTCTGGGCAACTTTGGTCTGGAAATGTTTTCTGGGAGATGCAGCTCTTTTGAAAGAGGCTGGTGGGCAGAGTTTGCATCCAGAGGCATGATGGATGTGGCCACTTAGAGACCATGTGGTGGGATTCTTGGGCCAACCCTGCTCCACTGTTTAAAAGCTGCATGACAGAGGGTGAACTTCTCAGCCCTGGGGCCTCGGTTTCTTCCTTTGGCGAGTGGGGTTAGAAACAGCTCTCTCCAAGGGTTGTTGGGAATACAGAGAGATGCACCCCCAGCACCTAGCACAGGTCCTGTTTCATGTGAGAGTGGGGGATGTTGCAAAAGACACGTAGATTTAGATGCTCAAATGTACAGATCTGGGTGATGGCAGGTCACAGGCTGGTCTGATTCCACTGTGGGGATGAGGCTGGACAGTGTGGTCAGCAGTAATTATGATAAGTGCTACAGGCATAGAGAGCCCACAGAGTCCACCTGGGGGTCCCTCTGAGCCTGGCAGATACCAGGTTGGTGGCAAAGCTGGAGGAGCCCTCGCTCTTCCAGGCTGACATTCTGTCTGGAGGCTGGGGTCAGGTGGCCTACAAGTTCCTCTGGATGGGAGGTTGTCCTGGTCTTCCCTGTCACCTCCCACTCCCATCCCAGAGTGTCACAGATGCATGTCCACGTGCCCACCCTCAAGGCCAAGTGCTGATGGCGACTG